ATGTTGACTTACAAAAGTGTTTGTCATAAGATGTTTGCATCATATAAATACATGTATATTTACTAGACTACTAAGAATTCGGATACATGCGCAAATTATAAAATAGGAGTTTAAACTGAATATAAAATTTTTAAAACCAAGATGGTGTTCTTGATAATGGCTGTATTGGAAGGCAAAGGTGCTATAGTAAATGTTATAAAATCAAGCTGCTTAACTATATGAACACAATGAACATGCAATATTCTGGTACTCTTGTTTTTACTTCTTTGAAACGACTTTTTTTGTGGTTGCTTTTTTGGGTGTTTTCTTTGTTTTCACCACCTTGGGTTTCTTTGGTGATGCTGCTTTGGATTTCTTGCTTCTTTTTACCTTGGGGGATTTAGGTTTTGGAGGAGCACTTCTAGCTGGTTCTGGCTTGGTTTCTGGTTTGGTCTCTTTCGGCTTTTCTGGGGTTGCTTTCTTGGGCGCTTTCTTGGGTAATTTCTTAGCAGGTTCGGTTTTCGTTTTCTTGTCCTGCTTTGGTTTGGCGGCCGCCTTCTTCGTTTTCGATTCAGGTACTGCAGCCCTTACCTTGAATGAACCAGCAGCCCCTTTGCCTTTACTGTGGACGAGGGTTCCCTTCGGTGCAGAACATCTTTTCAAAGCTTGGTTTAACATCGCATGATGATGTTTGTTTTCAGTTAGATTGAATTCCTTGACAACATACTTGTTTATGGCTTGTCTTGAGGCGCCTTTCCCGCCAAGAGCCTTTACGGCTGCAAGGACCATATCTGCGTACTTCGGGTGCTGAGACATTGCGATTGAATCCCTTCTGTGTAAAGTGAAGGAAAAATTTTCAAATCTTCTTTCTGTTACTTAGATTTAAAAAAATACAGTTTGTCAGCGTCGGTGCCTCATTTGTAAACACTAGTATCAACTGGGAAGCATTTACATATATCCACGATGCGGACCACAAAGGGAACAGTCAATATTTCCTCATAAAGATGCCTGATGTCAAAACTTTGTGCTTGTTGCAAAATTTTGCAGACGTTTTAAATACAGTTGGCGCAAATAGAATTTCCTGAAAAGCTGAATTTAGGAATTTTGAATAAAGAGTTTTTAGAATATTGTTTAGTTATTTGGGGGAATTTTCTGATGTGTGAGTATTTACGGGTAATTTACTTCGAGACTATGCTACAAAAAAAGGGAAATGTACAAAAATTGAGAATTTTTGCAACTGATGACGATGCCAATAGCTTTGCAGGGTACTATTAGGAAAATGGTTATTCCATTCACCTTTCATGGTGGTTAATTTTGAATAGAATTCAAAATTCTGTCAGAATACGAAGATTTTCAAAGCAGGTACAAACACAGCTAAAAGTGACGTGACGCCATAGTGTTGACACAGAGACAACGGGTTGTTTTGAGTGCGTCATAAGAGGAAAAAACTAAATTATTAATGACCTTTTCTTCAAAAACCTTCAAAAAAATCTTAAATTTTTTTAGAAATAATTGTTTCCTTTTCGTAGCGAAATGAAATTTTGAAACTTGGAAAAACAGCAGCGACAAAACCTTGTTTTTCAATTTCGTTTGCCTTTTTTGGTAGCAACAGACTGAACTTAAATCACAAAAGAAAAAGATTCTATTCAAAAACCTATAAATTTGTCATTTGTATTTATATAAAAAGTATGTTTATAACACGTCAAATCATACAGAGTATAGAGTATTTTTTTCTGGTTACGCTTCTCTTTATTTCTAAATGATACAACGATGATACAATGATGAAACTTAATTTACATCTTGTTATTGACTCTTCAAGTTGAACTTAAGCGTTATGTCAAAACATTTCTTTTTTCGCATACCAAAAAACAGTATCATCAGACCCAAACCAAGTAAAAAAAGGTCATGTCCCGAGAGAATATCTTGCAGCTTTGGTTCAAGGGTTAAATAAAAGAAAATTCTTGTTTTAGCAATGATAAATACAACAGACATATAGTGGCTACAAGATGAGGATGTCACGCTAAGATACCATAAGAAGTACATTAGTATTCATGACGTTTGCCTCCCGAGAAATTGTGCCCCAAATATTTTCTATTTTCAACCGACTCGGCAATTTTTTTCCTTAGTCTCGTTTCTATTCTACTCACTGTTTTCGTTGTCTGCTCTAGCTACGCTGTTACGTTTTTGGAAGCCGTTTTATAATAGAGAACCGACTACATAATATACTGATCACTATTAGCATGGACTACGATACTTCTGTTTCATTCTGTAATATTCCCCCGTGGGGGGGGGGGGTGAATGTGCTTCTGCTCTTTTCTCTTTTTTGATTCTTATCGTTATATCTTACGATAAGAATGACTTAATTGATACTAGATATGTCCAATTCATTTCCTATTCTCTAAGAATCCTGGCCCAGGAAATTATTTTCTTCATTGTGATCCTATACTAGGCAGTGTCAGTCAGTGCTGATTCGAAGTTTTAACTGGCAAACGGTTTTCACTGTAAAAAAAATTGATCGCATTTCGTTATGGCAACCCATGGAATCGTAAACTCAAGAGGACCCAAGAAGAAAATAATTTGAAGTCTTGGTGTTTCGCATATTGTTCCAACTATCAGCAAAGTCAATTGCTTTTTTTTAGATGTGCTTCTCAATGAAAAGCGTAAAGTTATATCAAAATACTCCCTGATAGATTTATAGTCTATACATTTTCAATTGTTGCCCAAGAGAATTCAAGATGGCCGCCATGGTAAAATGGGCTATGGAAACCGACTCTTGAATTGGAACTACGACATTTCTGTAAGACTCATATCAAACGTCGAACTTCACATGAGTCGAACCTAATGACATCAAAGAAGACCGCCTTGTTTTATTGTTTCAGTTAGGTTCGGCTCATGTGAAGTTCGACATTTGACAACAGTGACATGAGCATTAAACACTGTTAAAAAGAAAAAATGACCAAAAAATATTTATAGTTAGGTTTATAGTTACTAAGCAGTTTGTGAAAGTGAGCACATGACGGACTGAGGTTCTGTAGGTATGGATATCCTAACATAGACATGAAAAGGAGTTCTTAAAACTTCATAATTTCTTTGCTTGCTACCGGGCCGACAAAGAGAAAAATAAGAAGCTTTGGAGTACCAGTCAAGCATAAAGTATTTCTTTGTCTTTGGATTATTACCAAAATTTATCAATTATCATAAAGATGTGAGAGTATAAAGTCTTGTTTTTCGTCTTGAAGTGAACGAGCAGATTCTCTGAAATAGCTTTTAGTCGGCCTTTTAGCCAACTAGACCAATGACTTATAAAAAGCTAGCAGGTTATTGGTCATAGAAGTCACGTGGTTACTGTCTAAATTTTTGATAATTACGAAACATGTGAAATCATTTTTAATGCAGACCTTAACATCACATCTTATATTTTCTTTTCCATTTGCGACAAACGTTTAAAAAAAGTTCAACGCTCTCTAGCAGGCGTTATCATGTTTCTCGTCTCTTTCACTTCTGTTTCCAGGAAGAATTCGTGGCAAAGTTAACGATGAAAAATTTACTTAGAAAACAATATAAACTAACTTAATATCTCCGTTAAGACAATCTTGTCCATAATGTAGGATTTTAGACGATAGGTTAGCATATGTATATCAATATTTACATGTAAATAGATAATTATCTTATGGCTTAAGCCTTTCACTTAAGGAACAAAAGCATCTCCCAAGGGAGCTTTGTCCAACAGAGAAAGCGATAATTGGTTATGAATACACAATTGTTGTTCCTTAGCTACTCTGTTTAGAGTAGAATCTGTCAGAGAACTACGTCTGGAGCTCGGTTAATTCTTCTCGAGAACATGGCTGTAAAGACGGTAAAACTTGCTCCAGCAGATGAAAGATTCAAGCGAGAGTTTCCTAAAATTTGGGAATACAGGTACGAAAAAGCAGATTTACAAAATTAATGTAAAAACTTGTTTTTGCGAATGTTCCGCTTACAACATATGTTTGGTTGTGGGTTATTTATACCAGACATCATCTCCACTAAGAATCTTTACAGCCAACCGATTCAGTTTTAAAGCTAACGACCTCTATCCTCCTTCAAACCAAAAATGAAACCATGAAATTCATAGTTTTGGTTTGTGTGCGGGTTCTGTGGGACTTTGTTTGACAAACGACCTGCTGGTCTATTGTAGGTTGTTTACCAAGCCATTTCGAAGTGTGCTTTATGTATGAGCAAGGGATTAGTCTACCCTTGACTCTGTTTACTTACGATATACAAACTAGTTCAAAAATTAAGGCCGGAAAACTAATATAATCATTAATTTAGCTAATGGTATCTTAGAATAACGTAATTGCATCATTATTGAAAAAGGTTGTGAGGTGTGTGATTACTGAATCCTGACTGCATAGTGGACTGCAGGACGCCTTATCGCGGTAAATTATAACGAGAGTCTTTGAGAAGCCAAAATCAAGCTAAACCAACATACTTCACCTATATCGTGGTCAGTCATTTGTTTGTGTAGAAATACAGAAGACTTTTTTTACTTTTGCTTAAATTTAGTAATGCGCAATAACTAAGCCGCATATAACCAGATGATGCAAGACTTCATCGTTAAGTATTCATTTGACAAAATAGAGAAAAAACTCGGACATTTCTATTTATGACGGTATATTAATCTTATAATAATTATCGGTTATTATGATTGACAGGTATGGCGACCGCAAAGAGCTGTCGCATTGGTCGAAACATGAACTACCATTAATTCAACTGATCGGCAAACTGGACACAGATCACTGGACAAAACTAAAGCGAAGGGTAAATAAACGTGATGTGTATACCTGATTATGCTGGAATTATCGACCAACCAACGTTGTCAAAACGTTGTCAAACGAACGAAAACTTTTACGATTTCCGRAWCAWCATTTATCACCCACAGGGGTAGTTGGGAATCTAGGCCGGAAATCATTTATCACCCACAGGGGTAGTTGGGAATCTAGGCCGGAAATCATTTATCACCCACAGGGGTAGTTGGGAATCTAGGCCGGAAATCATTTCAAAACAAAAACCTGTGATTCATCATAGAAAACTACGACCCTTAAAGAAGTTACAGAAAAACTAGTAAACTTACTAGCTGCCTTTGATGAGTCTTTAAGATGGCGTCATATCGGACCAATAAGCCTTTTCATAGTTTAAGAATCGATTCCACTGCGCATGCGATTTTATCCCGAATTTCTCATCTTCTTTTGTTTATTAAGAACAAAAGAAGGTTTAGACAAAAGAAGGTGAGAAATTCGGGATAAAATCGCATGCGCAGTGGAATCGATTCTTAAACTATGAAAAGGCTTATTGCTACAGAATAGGCCTTTTGCAGCTAGAGATCACGTGCTTGGATACCGCATAGCAACGCCATACTGGAGAGCAAGCTCTCCAGTACTGACAACAGAGATCTAAAGGTCATACAAGCGTGCTTTCAAACGAAGAATTATAGTTAATTCTTTGCTTGCAATCACGTGACAATTTGACTAAAATTTTGCATCCGGTTTCCAAGTGACGGTCAAGTAAACAAAGATGGCGGCTCGCTTGGGTCAAGTTAACGATCAATCTGCCCCAAAAAACGCTCTTTCAGAGTACGCTAGTTATCTTGACTGCATACCCA